TTTTACATACTTAGATATTATTTTATATATATATTCACGTTATAGAATTATAAGAGAAAAAAATGGCTTTTTTGGAAAAGGAATATCTTATTGATGGATGGTATGTTATATAATAAAAAAAAGTAGATATTCATCAAAAATGATAAATTAAATGATCATACAGTTTAATCAAACTGATTCAATTAAATATAAAAATACAAATTTAATGGACATACACACACACACGCGCGCGCGCGCGCGCACACATATACACACACACATACACACACACACACATTATGGATATATACTCAAACAGCACAAAGTCGACTATTAGTCGATTATAAGTCGGCAGAAAAAGTCTAAAGTCGACTCAAACTAAATATCAACTTAGCCGACTATAGTCGAAATTGAAATGTCCCAACTATAGTCGGTTACAACTCAGCCATATCAGTCGACTTAATGTCAATTTTATGACAACTATAAGCCGACATTTTTTATATGGTTAGGCTAATTTTTACAGAAAAGTCGACATTTAGTTGGCTAAACGTCGACTTTACAAGTCGACTTCAATCAATTAAAAAAAGTCGACAATTAGTCGGCAAACAGTCATTTGTGTTGTATAGGATTCTATATTAACGTTTTTATTTTTACCGTAATTCCGTAAAATAATAAAGTAAAATAAAAATTACAATATTTAATAAATCATGCATGATATACTTGCATGGCATACTTAAATTTTGATTTTAATGTCGTTTCCAATTTTGTTTTATTTTATATGACACAATACACTTGTTTTTTAAATAATAACAAAATATAAAAGAATAATTTTCCTTTTAAAAATGCGGGTTCTTGGAAAAATATGATAGATATTTAATAATTATTTAATACATTAATAATTATTTTGAACAATAATATGTTAACAAAAAATGTTTTGAGACTAATAATAAATGGTTTTTTATAAATAGGTGGCTCGTGTTGTTTATATTTATTTTACTTAAACTTCTTGTTCTTTCTTTTTCCATCGCTCACAAATATATCTATCCTGCTTTAAATATTAAAAATTCTAAGCAACGCGAACCTAATGTTTGAACCATTATTTTTTTTAGAAATATGATGTAATATTCCGCAAATACGATTAACGTACAAAGAACCTTAAACTTTCTTTTAACTTGCATACAAGTACACATCAATAAGAATTAATGTATAGTATATGTCAAGCATGCGCAAAATGTATTTCCGGATACTTTTAGATACTTTTAGAAAAAGAGAGACATTTCTCTTTCCAACTTCCCACAGATATAATCATATCTGTATTACCAGTCCATATAAGGTCTATGGTTAAATCTATCGAAAATAGATTTGTAAAATTTAATACTTATGAGATGTTTGTGACAAATGATCAGATCTCTGGGGGTCAATCATGTAATTTCACGTGAAATTTTTCACTTTCCATTTTTCACTTTTAACTTTTTATTGTTCACGCATTGAAATTTCACGTAAAACTTTTCACGTATAGCGATGTAGCTTGGATGCGTAGAAAGTGAAATCATGAAACATAATTTCATAGGTTTTATACATGGCAAAAAAGTTCACATTTGAAAAATTTCACATTTTCTCGTTTGAGAGAGTTACATGATCCCGCGAAATTGTACATGATCGTAAGTTCATGTGAAATTTTTTACTTTCACGTTTCCACCCTAGGGAAAAAGTTACATAATTGACCTCCAGAGAGTCAATCATGTAACTTTACGTGCAATTTTTTACTTTTCATTTTTCACCTTGAGATTTCATGTGAAACTTTTCACGTACAGCGATTATGTATATATAGCTTGGATGCGTGGAAAGTGAAATCATGAAACATAGTTTCATAGATTTAGCTAATGAAAATCATTTTATTGGTTCAGTATTATATACATCTTTTAATAACCAATTGTAATAACCAATTGTATATGTACTACGTACATTTAATCCTAACGCAGCCCCAATCTTCTCTAATTCCAAAGCATATTTATTAATTCTCTAGATTTTCGCCTTTCTATCAAGGTACATGGCGAAAAAGTTCACGTGAAAAATTTTACATTTTCACGTTTCAGAGAGTTACATGATCCCGCAAAATCGTACATGATCGTAAGTTCACGTGAAACATTTCACTTTTCACTTTTCTGCTAGAGGAAAAGTTACATGATCGACTCTTTGATCGGACAAAAGCAATGGCACTTAACCAATAGACTTTCTAAAGTTCCCTAGATAAA